TTTTTTTCATAAACCTTATTTGACTTCTGTCTTTTCATATCGGCATGAATGACGTCTTGCATATTTGGTAAAGATTTATCAATTCGATTCTTCACTTTTACTAAATTCCGATAATGTTGTCCACGTTTAACCACGTTATTAAAGAGGATATATTGGTAAGGTTGCTGTTGATATTTTTCGGTACCAAGATTTTCGATAGCGATGATTGTTTTGCTCATGTTTATCAGATTACTACTGTCTCTCAGGTATTTTGCAGTACATGTAGGCTATATATGTGAGTTGGTTATTGTTATTATTTTCGGGTTTCTTTTTAATTTTCGAAAATAATTTACACTTGACTTTTATTTTATTTTTAGCATAGATGAGTAGATTTTAATTATGTTTGATAACAACAATAACAAAGAAAGATAGCTTTGTTTTATATTAGTAAGTATTCTAAACCGACTACAGAAATAGATTTGGGAGAGATAAGTCCGTATGAGACTTGAAATTAGCTCATCGTATTTTATTGCTCCGATGAGCCCAGAATTCATCAGAATCATCTCATTTTAGCCCTATTACGTGCCTGTGGATGAATATTTCTGACAAAATCTTCTCGAAAGGAGACATACACATCTCATCGTGAGTATAAGCGTGAAATACATTTTTCGTTCTCATCATCTAATATTCAGCGTAGTATTACATACAACCGTCTACGGCTAACGGTTGATTTATTGTGCAATTTAAAAAGTAGAGTCAAATTAATTATTGCGTAATATTTTTTTAACAGCTCGTTTAGGTTGCAAGAAATAATATGAAACTGAGGGATTATCTGAATGTAATTTTATTAAGGTTTTTTTTATATAAGAAAACAATTTAAAAGTTCTGGACAGAAATCTCATTTTTTCACTTTAGACTCCTACTTTTATTACATATCCTCACTTTTAATCAATGACAGTTTGATATCTACAGTCTGATTCAGATATTTTTAATCATTTTATTATATTGTTTAAGGGGTATCAATTTTTCTGATCACCAAAAAAGCGACTTTTGATCACCAAATTTATTAGCAGTGAAATAAATGAATAGAAATATGAAAGATATATGAAATATATCATCAACTGACGGTTTTTGAAATTCTGTTGCCAGTGGTTAAGTTTTTTGAAATGTTATTGGCTTTGTCAACTCACAAGAGCTATAAATAACTGCCCTAAACTACAGACGATACCATCAAAGAAATATCGAAGCAAGAATGGAAAGTGTTACACACAGCTACATCGTCCGATGAAGCGAAAGAATACGCAAAATTACAGTTTCATGTTTGCCAATATTGTTGATCAGATTTCAAAAACCATAAAAAAATCCATAACATTTCAAAAAACTTAACCGTTGGTAACAGAATTTCAAAAACCGTCAGCTGTTGACATATTTCATATATCTTTCATATTTCTATTCATACTTCTTTTTGTATATAGTTTCTTTATATTCTTTTTCTTGTCTGTCCGCTAATGAATTTGCAATAACGCTGAAACTAAACTAATTAATTTGCTATTAAATTGCTATATATTCTTCTTGTATATGTTTTCTTTAATTTAAATTTTCTTTAATTGATTTGGTGGTCAAAAGTCCTATTTTTTGGTGATCATCTCACTGCTAATAAATTTGGTGATCAAAAGTCACTTTTTTGGTGATCAAAATACACTTTTCCCTTGTTTAAGTGTTTGTAATGTTTGTTATATATGTTACAGGAGAAATTAAAGTCCAGTTGAATTTAAAATTCTCCTAGTAAAAATTAAAATCAACATATTCACAAACACAAAAACTCCATTATCCGTCTTTAGAGTTCGAATTTTAGTTTTCTGAAAACTGTACGATGTTTATGGACAACACGTGAAAATTATGAACAATGACTGACAGATGTAACCGGTCTATGTTGGCTTCGGTCAGATCCGATCGAGGAAAAAGACGTAAACCGGCGCGTTGACCGGTAGATCGGTCACACTTGGACAACCTGGTCCGATCCAAAATTTTCAGGCCGGTTATTGACCCGGTCGACAAAATCTTAACCGGTTACATCTATGCAATAACTACGAGTTCAAAAACGGCAACTTGTGAGCAGAATTCCACCCGTAAACGTTTTGTGACCTGTGCTAGAGCTCATGACTATATTTTGGTCGAATAGAGACGTTTGGATTCGCAGTCACTGTTCATAATCTTCACCCGGTGTCCATAAATATCGTGCACTTTGCAGAAAACTAAAATTCGAGCTATAAAGCCGGATAATTGAGTTTTCGTGTTTGTGAATATGCTGATTTTAATTTCCACTAGAAGAATTTTTAATTCCACTGGATTTTAATTTCTGCTGCAATATATATTCAATGGAGATGGGAGAAAAATATAGCAAACATGCCAAATTTTAGCTCATTTTTAAAACATTTAAAATTCATGCTTAAATAAGGTGCGCATATATTTAGAAAAAAAGAACCAAAAAAATATTTTGCATCTATTGCACTTTGTTTTCAAATTTGGAAAAAAACTTACTGAACCTTTTTCATAAAAAGATGAAAGAGCTATCACTTGCCTTCAGAACAGAGCAAAATCCGTCTTCAAAGTGTTTTGCTTTTGGCTAACGAGGGAACTGCCCCAAGTGTTTCCGAATTTTTTCGTCGAAACACGCATAGGCATAGGTTATCGCTGATGCTGATTTCGAATAGCATAGTCGGAGCGGCATACGAGTCTTTAGAGATCTGATTTTCTGGAAAACCAGATTTTTAGAAACTATAAAAATAACCAAAATCTCTCTTAATGAAGTATGTTTTGATTAAAAATGAGACATCCCCCAGCTCTGTACGACCTTTCTTTGTAAAGTTATAGAGTTTACAAGAAAAGCTCTAAATTCCTTTTTCTTTCTGTAGCTTTGAGATGACAATAAACATTTAGGACTTTTCTTGTAAACTCTATAACTTTGCAAAGAAAGGTCGTGTAGAGCTGGGAGATATCTCCTTTTAATCAAAAATTTGTAGGCTACAATCATATCGCATTAAGAAAGGTTTTGGTCATTTTTTAGAGTTTCTAAAAACCTGGTTTTCCAGAAAAACAGATCTCTAAGGACTCGTATGCCCCTCCGACTATGCTATTCGATATCAGCATCAGCAATAACCTATGCCCAATGCGTGTTTCGACAAACAAGTTCGGAAACACGGGGCGGTTATAAAGAAATCGAAAAGGTTTAAGGACATCGAAATTACTGTTGAGACCAGAACTGAACCGAAAAAAGAAAATCATTTCTATTTGAAGAACTAGACTAAAAAATATTCTGAAATATAGCCATTTGATAGAACTTTTAATCGCTGTCAAAGGATTATCGTTATTTTTTCATATTTAAAGAAACGGAAAAGTCGAAGAGACAGTTTTTGAACATTCAGATAGTTATACATGTTGAATATTCGCAGTATAAGCTTCCTAGCCTTTTATTCTCGTCATTGAATGTAGCGAAATGTTGAGGATGGTTTTTTATTGTAGAGAATTAAACAGAAAAAGTCTAGATCATGAAGGATGACAAAGCTTTTTGGAAAATAAAGAGAGGATAATTTTTTACAGCCCACTCGTTAGTCACATGATATAAATTAACTCAAACGTTTCTGTACTATCTCTTGTTTTATAACTTTATTGATTCATATTAAAAAATGTTCGGCGACAAGGTCATTTTAGGCCTAACGTTTAACAATATATATTGAGATAACAAGGGAAAGTAGATTGAAATCAGAAGGGAAAGAAGAAGATAACAGTAACAATTAATATAAAAATGAAATAAATAAACGGTAAACTATAAGTGACAGGTCCTGGAGATACTAACTCTTTTATTATGTTCAAACATGTTTATTTCAGTATCGCTTCAATATAAATAAAGTTTACATCCTATGAGCACCAATGATGTTTTCATAATCCATCGAAAAATCTCGCATCTTCATACAAAATATGAGAAAACATGCAAGTTAAGCATTATAAAACTGATAGTCTCTATTGAAATGACTTTTACACTGTCAAATTTGTATCAAGAAGTTTAAATACCCGTAGTTTCATTTAAACTAATTCCAGACAGAAGGGAAAGGCATTAGACTTGTTTCAAAAAAAACATTTGGCATGTTTTGAGATTGATACTGCGTCTCTATATACCCATGTATGCATCTAGCCAAATCTTTGTTTTTCTTGCTTGAAGTTATATAAGTTAATTCTCTAAAAATGCTGTTGATTGTAACAAAATCTTTCCAGTTATTGTAACAGAGTTATTGAATCTGCCTTTCTCTTCTATTTTATTTGATATGTAGTAATTCAACAGTTTCTTACTTTCTTTTTCTTTTTTTGTTTTCAATCTTTTAAAAGTATGTTTTTTATTTAATTTATCATAAGTTATAAGATTTTTTTTAAAAATTATCAGTGCATATAAACTATTTCTTCTTGTTTCTCTCTCATCTCATGTTAAAAGAATACTCTACTAATGTGTTTGCTATTATAACTTGGCATAGTAAGTGCAAAATGATCGTTTTAAAAGAGGAAAAAAAGAAAAATGCCATTCTCATTTGAAAAAATAAACAGAAAATGATTTAAAATAGAACTTTTTGTTGTTTTGTTATGAAATAATAGAATAAAAGCGTTGATGATAACAAATATAATGACATACGTCAGCAAAAATAGCATACATTTAATCATTCTGTTATCGCATCTTTTATATGTATGTATGATCTAACAATATGTTTATTATTTGAACAAGCACACTTAAAGATAATATTTAACTGTATAGCAGTATCAAATCTTCAAATTATATTTTCGTTTTGTTTGACATGTCTCAAATATCTCATGATTCTGTTTCTCCTTCTTTTTTGACTCGTGTTGGTAGAGTCAATTCAGTAAAAGACAAAAGTCGTATTTTTGAACGTCCATATCTACTCAATAATCAAACTCGTTTAATTTTATCTGCTAATACGAAACCTAAACGTTTAGTACGTAGTACTACATCTTCTATGTCAACTTACCAAAATTTAAATCGAATTAATTCAACTTCAACAACTATTTTAGAAAAGGATTTAGATGACGAATTATATCAAGATGAAGATAATGTTAGTGTCCTGGACGCCAGTGAGAAAACAAATGATCTACAACCAGTTCAAGTTGATTATGACTCAGATATTGAACACGAGCAAGAGCCATTACGTGATTTTTCTTGTAAAGGTGTCTATTTGGAACAGTGTAAAAAAAGGGCTGTAATACCATCGAAACATTATTTGAGAAATTTGAACAATGAATCGTTAATAATTCGTTATTACGGAATGAAACCGATTAATGTTAAAGCCATGGTACCATCATTAAAAATAAATACAACAGTAACAAAATTAGACTTAAGAGAAAATTGTTTAGGATCTTTAGGTGCCATACACATTGCTCAATTGCTTAAAGATGCAGTATATATAACAGAATTGAATTTATCAAATAATGATATTGGACTACAAGGTATGATTTCTATAGAGAATTTATTGCTATCAATACAGGATATCGATAAGAACAATTGCTTAGTTCAAACGATAGGAGATTTAGTCCCTTTACCACGAAAAATCCTTTTATCTTCTTTCTAGATGCACTTTCTCACTTCATTCAGTCATTCGTAGAAATTTGGAGAAAAGCTCATTCAGTAAACGGTTGTTTTATTCGTTGTTCTTTTCAACATACTTACGTTAATTATTGTCTGCTGAGTCCCGAAAGTAAAGTAAAGGTGAAGTCCGCATAAGAACGGTAATCGGCCCACTAACAATAACCTCTCTAATCGGTCCCAACCTCATCAGAAACACATCCGATTATCATATTCGATGATTTCGACCCTTCCGAACGCTTTCAGTCGAATATACCCGACAGAATCTACTTGAAACCAAGCAACAGTTTAGCACCAACAGTAT